GGTTTTGTCATACGATGTCGGTTTTCATTGCAACATCCAACCAACCATACCCTTTACCTTTCCTGTGCTTCACCTACACCAGTGATGGCGAACCTGTGACACGCGTGTCAGAGGTGACACGCGAACTCATTTTTTTGGTTGACTTTTCTTTGTTAAATGGCATTTAAATATATAAAATAAATATAAAAAATATACGTCTTTGTTTTACTATGGTTGCAAATATCAAAAAAATTCTATATGTGACACGGCACCAGAGTTAAGTTAGGGTTTTTCAAAATGCTGACACGCCGAGCTCAAAAGGTTCGCCATCGCTGACCTACAAGGTGGCTTCTGACCTTCTTACTTCCTTTAAATCCCAATGTCTTCATTAAAAACAGAGGCAAACATGGGACTATGTCGTATCTGCCCGTGGTTGGGCCCAAGCATTTACATACCGAAATGCCTACCTACTGTGTAGGTATATTGTGTTAAATTTCATTTCCGTTTCACAAGGAAAATGTGAGAAAATATTAGAGAAGAGAGCCTCTGGCCCACGCTCACGCCAGCCACGGCCGGATGGTGGATAAGCGAGGAGCTGCCGCCACCTGGTGGCGGACGTAGAAATGGCAGGCGGGCCAAAACCCCTTCCCGCCCAGGAATCTTCCTGCCCAACCTCGCTGCTAACTGTTCCAAACACGCCTTCCGCTGCCCCCTCCCAGGCCCCCCAGAGCTCGGTGTTTGACGCTTCCTTCAGGGCTGCAGAGATCCAGGAAAGAGCCCGGGCTGAGAGGTGGGAGCCCTGAGTACTGGGCCCCCGTCTGCCACTAATGCTGTGTGACCCTGGACACGGGCACTGCCCTCTCTGAGCCTTGCTGTGCGGTGTGAGGCAGAATTGGTCTCCGAGGACCCTTGAGGGCTGCCATGCTCAACCCTCTCACCCAGGAGCAGCCAGGTTCTCCTGCCACCTGTCCTCTGTGCCCCCTGCTCACGGGGCCACCCCAGGGGTAGCAGAGGGCAGGACAGTCCTCCTGGGGGCCAAGGGATTACAGGGTGGCCTCCTGAGCGTCTATCCCAATCCCGTGTTCTTGTAAGGCTGCCATGAGCCCCTGATCCAGGTCCCCATGCCAACTACCCACTCTGCCGTGAAGGTCAAGTCTGTATTCACTCCAAAAATAGAACGCTTTTCTTTTTAAATTGGTATTAGAGAGGGAGTGGGGGGTGGGGGGGGACATTGATGAGAGAGAGCATCTATCGGCTGCCTCCTACACAGCCCCTACTGGGGATCAGGCCTCAACCAGCCATGTGCCCGGACCCGGAATCAAACCACTGTCCTCTTGGTGCATGGGTCCATGCTCAACCACTGAGCCACACGGGCCAGGCACACTCCTCTGCTATTAAACAAGGGCTAGGAGCTCCGAGGGCACCACCGGCCTCCTCTCTCCTTGGGACGCCCTGGGAGCTGGGACTGGCACCCTCCCTGATGGGCGATTTCCTGAAGGTGGGGGCAGTTTCTCCCCCTCTCCCTTCCCCACCTCCAGACTGGGGCTCCCTGACACAGACCAAGGGCTTCCTCAGAGCAGGCGGGTCTCCGGCCACAGGGTCTCCAGGACCACAGCACAAGGGGCCCCCAGGACTCACATCGGACCCCCCAGCCCCAGCCCCCTGCCCAGATGCTGAGGGAAGGCAGTGAGGCAGCAAGGCTGAGGCATGTGTAGAATAAATATAACTTTATTCTTTATCCAGTAGATCTCAGTGGAAAGTCCCACAGTAACAGGTGCACCAGCGGGCTCTGGGGGGTGAGACCCCAACCCTGGGGCAAGGGGGGCAGGGCAGAGCCAGCTCCCCCAGCCCAGGGGTGCAGGGGATGAGGGGAGGGGACCCCCTTAGGCCCGTCCTGCGGGGCAAGGAGGGAGCACAGGTGTGGGGTGGGGGTTGGGGGGCAGGCCGGGGAAATGGAGGAATTCAGGCCAAGAGTATCTG